GAATAAGAATAATTTATGATTATGGATATCCAATAATTTGTTGAGTATTTACGCACAAAACTTAAATATAAATTACTTAAACCAACTTTTATAGTTTATCGGGTTTAGACTAAATAAATATTTTTTATAAACTTCTGTTTATTTATTTGAGAATAGGAGGCATTCATTTTAAAATGTAAATAAACAGCGGGACTGTCACGCAAAAAGAGATATAAGGCTGAAAACTATATGTTTGACAGAAATAAAAAGTATCGCTCAATTGGCTAATTAATTAATTACTTATTGCTTATTACTTATTTCTTAACCGTGGTGGTATATAACATTATCCCAAATTTACCGAACTTATCCGAGGACTATATCGATGTGCTTCAAGAATACCAATTTACATTTCAAGTCGAATCGATCGAAATTGGCTTCGTAATAATCTTGATATCGATAAAACATCGAGATTTCAGGAGTCCCGCCACAGGATAGCATTCTTCATAAAGGGCCTGATTGCATTATCCTGCATCGTACGATGTTTAGTCGTTTACATCAGTGTCAGTAAAACATGAAGTTTAAAAAAAGTATCGCTGAAAATAGGCACCATCACACTTATTTCTCAATTGGAAGAACAGGTACTTAACGAAATAGAAGCAAGCCCTACAACAAGCACTAGGAAGATTGCTCACACATTAAATATTAGCCATCCAAAGTGTGTCAATAGATAAAAGAAAGAATAGGGCATAATTCTTGACTTTTTGCATAAATATTCTTTACCGATGAGACTAACTTCTCTAGGGATGTCATAATGAATTTTCACAACAATCGTATGTGGACTTACAAAAACCCACATGCAATGTCGGAATGCAATACCGTTTTTACTTCAATGTGAGTAGGAATTTTCGGGGACTTTTTGATTGATCCATTCTCCGCACAAAACAAATGGATATTCCTGACCTTTGACCCTATATCTCTAAAACTGGCCATTCTCTGACGTTGGACCTATGAGGACTTTTGATCAGGATGTCATGAAGTACAACATACTACATTTTCAGTCCATTCGACTGTACTCTTTTTCCATTTTTGTGCGGCGTCCTTTATAGAAGATTTCTTAAAGAGGAATGCATATAACTTGTTTAAAAAACAATGTTCGAGCTTATGGAGTAGTCTTGATTTTAGAACTCAAAGGACTTGGAGAAATGTAGATATACCAAGTCAACTAAAAGTCTGGTCAACCATGAGTAGAATGAATTACATCAGTAAAAAGATACCTAGCTCGGAAGTGTATCAGCAATTATTTTCCATGATTTAAGCACAGGTTGCAGATTGGTGGACGGATTGGATGATAATTATTATTGGGGCTCAGTTTGATATCAATTCCTTCGTTATTTTGTATTTTAAAGTATTTTCCAATAATATAAACGAGTTTTGCGAAATGAAACGTAGCTGTGTCGTGTCCAAGCTCCATCGTGAAAGCATTAAACCAAGAAGTGGAAGGCCTTCATGTTAACCGAAGATTATTTTCAGGAAAGTGGAAAAAATAGTACTCAAAGATGGTCGTTTTAAACTGTCAACCAAGGTGTTTCCTATTGCTAAAGCATTAAATATATATGTAGTCCGTACATTTGTTGAGATATAATTCCAAGAAGGCCCCTGCGTCACTTTCTTTGAATTACTTAACCGCATTCGGCACCCGAGTTAGAAAAACATTGGAGGAAAATTTCAAGGCTGCCTCGGTAAATTGTTAGAGTAGTTCAGATAATTTTTTTTTAATTCTATCTCAACAAATATTGTACGGATTGTATCTGATATAAGGTTCTAGCAATTGTACATGATAAAGTATAGGTAAAGTTTCTTCAAAAGAGGTTTCAAAATTATTGACCCCCGGACAAAAAATAAATAGGAAGAAAATTTCTCAAAATCATTTGATATCTTTGAATGCAGAGAACATTTTCTCTAAGATGATCCGCCATACAGGGTGTCCCGAAATTCATGCAACAAAATTTGGTCACAGATTCTTAAGACAAATTTAGGAGACCCGTATTTTTTATTTTTGTCAAGTGACCCCCTCTTTCGGAGTTACAGCCCCCTGAAGTTCGCCCCTAAGAATAATCGTTTTATTATATCTCAGAACCCTGTTGTACGAGACAATTTTTCATGGGCCCCCTTGTCTTTGGAGCCAAAAAAATTTGGTCGCATATTTAAATTTCTTAAAAGTTATCAGTCCACTAGAAAGCCATTAAATTTAGAAACTTTTTGTCACTTTATAACGAGCGTTCAAATAAAAACGTGGTCGAAGTTGGCTCTGACACATTGGACGTAGGGAGTAGCTTATAGCGACCAACTTAACCTCATTTCTCAACGAGCTGTATATCAGCTGTCAGTTTCAATAACGTTAATGACTACATAACTTTATTTTAAAGAATAATCGTGATAACAATAACAAACAATTAAAGGAGCTGCGGAAAGTGTCCCCCTCCTTGTTCCAAGTACTTTTCACACCTGTTCCTCAAAGAATTAAAGACATTTTCTAAGATGCTCGGGGTACCTATTGTTAATTTCACGAATCTTGTCTATAAGTCGAGCCTGCAGATGGTTTAAATCAGGAATATGCAGTTCAAAAATAGTGTTTTTAAGGTAACGCCACAAAAAGAAATCACACGGCGTAATATCACATGACCTCGGTGGAAATTCATGTTCAGCATTGAGACTTATTAGTCGACTTTGGAAAACTTCCCTCCACATATTCATCGTCTCGCCTGACGTATGTCCCCTTGCGCCATCTTGTTGAAAGTAAAAGTTTGTAATTTCGTTTTCTTCCAGCTGGTTAACAAAAGGAGCGATAATTTCTTCTCTATACCTTTGCGCAGTAAGAGTACCATTAAAAAAATAGGTCCATAAATCCTCCTTCGATTGAGAGCACACCAAACTCCAATTTTTTGAGCGTGTAGAGGGCCCTCGACAAAAAAGTTATCTGGTTTTTCAGAAGACCACATTCTCATATTCTGTGAGTTTACGTAACCACTTAAATGAAACCAGGCTTCATCAGAAAAAAAGGTGATATTATGAAGTTCACCGTAGTTGTTTAAAAACCATTCACAAAATACAGCCCGTCGCGGAAAATCAACTTCATGAAGTTCTTGCTGACAGGTTAAACGATAGGAGAACAAACGCAAATCTTTTTTAACACTGTGTGGCAGGTACCGACTGATACTCTCACCATTTGTGATAAAACACGTACAGAAGTTCTTGGCGCATTTTCCATTATTTGTTGGACATTTTCTTTTAATTCTTCAGTCCGCTTTTTAGGTCGGCCGCTTCCTTCTTTTCTTGTTACACTGCCCGTTTCACGAAAAACATTAACACAACGCTGAACTGCACTTTGAAAAATTTTGTACTCAACAACGCCGGGAAATTGATTTTCAAATTCTATGAAACATTCCTCAATAGAATACTTCCATATTCCATCAATCTTGCGTCCATTTCTAAAGTAGGACTCTATGATAAACACTTTTTGTTCTTGAGAAAACACCATTTTAAACGCTTTTTAAAACGAAAATATTCAAATTGATAGCGGCGATATAGCGCTTTGACAGATGACGTTTAAGTTCATTTGCTATACGCTACGCCCTACGTCCAAATTTTCAGAATCAACTTGACCACGTTTTTATTTGAACGCTCGTTACTTTTTACGTAAAATGCAATGTTTTCGAGAAAAATGTCAAAATGTGATCGAATGCATATCGTGATTCGCCATTTTCCTCAAAAACATTGCGTTTTACGAAAAAAATATCAAGAGACAAAAAAGTTTATAAATTCAATGGCTTTCTAGTTGACTAATTTAAAAAAAATCAAATTTGTGACCAAATTTTTCTGGTTCCAAAGACAAGGGGGCCCACGAAAAAGTGTCTTAAGGGGGTTTCTCGCCAAAAAGCATAGCACTGTGAGATTCCACATGTCATAAAATCCCTGTGTACCAAATTTAGTGATTCTCGTACAACATGATTTTGAGATATAAAAAATACTTCTCAGGGACAGATTTCAGGGGGCTGTAACTTCGAAAGAGGGGGCCAGTTGGCAAAAAGAAAAAATACGGGTCCCCTAAATTTGTCTTAAGAATCCATGACCAAATTTTGTTGCATGAATTTCCGGATACCTTGTATAGCTTGGATTTGACTCTTTTTGATTTCATTTATTCGGAAATTTGAAGAAAACTTCAGGAGACATTATTTTGAGGACGATAACCAATTGAAAGAGAATATCGGCACTTATTTGGAAGACCAAGAGGAATATTTTTTTCTAGAAATGATATCGTTGCGGAGCAGGTAGCGCGCAAATGCGTTGATGTTAAGAGATTATGTTAAAAAATAAAATTAACACAAACGTCTATTGTTTCATTAATAAGGAGAAAACTTTACTATCGCCGCTAGTAACGACAGAAACCACATTCCTGCTATGATTTACACTTGCTGTTACTGTTACAAAATCTTTTACAATATACCTAATTTACAAGAAAAAATATTTCCGTTGCAAGGGTAATAATCCCATTCAAAAATAAGTTAAGTTTTCCGTAAAACGAACATGCATATGCCTAAACAATTATGTCACTTCCAATTAAATTCGGTAACAAGAATAAACGTGTTAGTTAATGGCCAAAGGCATAAACCGAGGCATAAACACACATTTTATTGTGTCGCATTGCCCATAAACAGAACATAAACAATGAAAATAAGCAAAACAGTAACAAGCAAGGCTGAAACTGCACAGGATTTGTAACAAAGATAATTTTAAGAGAAACTGCAAGAGTTCTGTTCTCGGCGAAAATTCTTTCATGAATTTAAAATACGGCTATACTCTATTGATGCCGATACTAATTTTCACTTAATTTCAATAATACCAATCGGATCTGGTGGAATCGTCACATAATTTTTTTTGCAATTTGTTTTCAACAGTTAATAACTTTGCAAAACGAAAAATAGACCTAGGCAACAGAAAACTTTAATAAACTCTCCACTCACCGGTCATACGTATCTCGTTGAAGGAGAAACGGCAGCAAAAACTACAATAAACAACACAAACGTACGTACACAAACACTATCTCGGTTCGCAAGAAACAGAAAAACAAAAAATGTTATTGTTGTGGAAGCGTATCGATAAGACGCGATCGCCGATCACCCGTGCTGTGGAATCCAAAGCTCCGCTGGTCGTAGCAAGCCGTGCTTAGTCAACGAAAGCGCAGTCGAAACTGTCAGAAGCATGCCGTGTTAAGCTTGGGCGCTGTTGCCAGGTCTTAGAAATTCCGGTATGGTTCAGGATGGTGTAAGGTGCAATCAAATATTGTAAACGTTAATAGCAGATTGTTACGTGTGCATGCAAAAGAGACATGCAATCAGTTAAAAATACCGGCGCTGTTTTATTTTATACGAGGTGTTTTCTAAGTCTGTGTTTGAGTATATTGTTTGAGGTTATTTGTTGTGGTATAATTTTAATTTCTTTTTCTGTGTATCTTGCCATCTGTGAAAATTTCATTTTCAATGATTTCTTTAAAGGATAGCTTCAATTTTAAAAACGAAATATATTTATTTACAAAAAATAACACATTTGAAAATAACGTGAATAAAGCTTATTTTTTTGTTTGTTAGTTTAGCACTCTCAGCCCTAAAAAATGTGTTAGCTTCAAATAAATTGAAGGATTTTTCAGTGCTGATGGAAATACAGAAATATAGAGTGGTGTAATGTGACAAAAAAAACTATTTTTGGAAGGTAGTTGGAAAAAGTTTTATGAAGTTTATTTTTCAAAGGCCTGGTTAGTGGTTACCTTCCTGGACTGATCATAAAGTATTCAAATACACTGAGAAACATTTGTAATTGGGCCCAATAATAACAGGGTGTCCAGATCTAAATTCTTTGGATTTCTACTTCTGGGATGATTTGAAAAGACGTATTTACGCAACTTCTGTGGTGAAGATTTATCAACCTTTCGAGCTGAATTTTTTGAAACTATACTAACAAGAAAAAATTCATTGAATAGGATTACAAATAAATAATGTTAATATGTACTACGTGCAGATAATGGCAGATATCTAAGAATTTTACCATTTCAAGGCCAGTAACTTTTTTCAAAAGTATTAATATTTATGTATGTCATTTTTATTTGAAAAATTGTTAGGGTTTTCAGTAAATCGGGAAGCATGTCAAAACCACTTGTTTAACAAAACAAAATAATAATTATGTAAATTATGAATAAAACGTACTAATCAAAAAAAAAAAAAAAATACTGGCCTAAAAATTATATACTCATGCAACTTTCAATGAGTTTGACCAATAGTTATTCACTAGCCCAAAATTCATCAATCTACTTTAAATGCCAATCTTTTGAATACAACTATGTGATATTTTGAAGAATACCTACTCAACACTTTGTGACTAATAACTTTAAATCCATACTTTATTGAGACAAGTCTAAGAGTCGATCTAAGGTCCCTTTAAAACTTTAAGTTATAAAGTTATAGTATAAAAAAGAACATGAAAATTAAAATTGAATCGAATAATTAGTAAAATTAAATTAAATAAATAATAAAGTTAGTACTGTGGCCATAGATAAATCACATGGCGATAAAAAAATACAACACATTTTGTGAATAAGCTTACACTTAATTATTCTTTTTTTTAATGTGTTTCATAGCCGTGACAAACTGAAATTATGATGCAACACGGTTTTATGGGTACGCCTAACTTTCAGTAACACATTAGCATTGAATAGAGGCAAAATACATTCAGGTAGACTTGGCAACGCTGTCCAAGACGCACGCCCCGGCCCCGTTCATCCACATGTTGTTGCAGCTGTTTGTTTCTGGCCGAAATAACAACAATAGCCGATGGGCAAGGTGGGTATGAGAAATTATTCTGCCACATTTGGAATTCACATTGCGCTAGAACGCGTATTTGATAATTTACTCATTATTATTGTTGTGGCACCGCCAAAGAGCGGTTGCACATGAAAGGAAAATATTGATTTGCTTGACTAATTAAAGATAAAAAAATAATTTAATTGGTTTGCGAATATGTCAACCAGTGGCGGAAATACTGGATGACACTTTGTCACTGAAAACCTTAGAACTTCGACGACACTGGATAGTGATATACAGCGTGTCCCACTAGTGCGGGAAAATCTAATATCTATGTTAAAATGAGGAATATATGGATTTTTCTTTTTACTGTGTTGCCACATTTCTCGGAATGTACAAATTTAAAATATATTTAACTATACAGGGTGTTCCACTTTTCCTGGACAGACACCAACTTTGGTTTTTTGAATGGAAACACACATTTTTTATATTTCTTTCGGATTCTACATCAAAAATAAAGGGTACTTTGTGTAGAATAGTTCTATTCAAATATTCACAGTTTTTGAGATATCTCGCTTGAAAGGTTTTTCTAGTCGATATTGGTTGCTTACATTTTCTGATACTGACAGGTTATACTAATAGCTACTAAGCCAATTTTTTTATCAGATATTTAGTAAGGATGACTCTTCCGAATCATGCTCCAAAAACTGGCCTGCGTTATACAGGGTAACCAAAATATCATGTCAAAATTGCCAATTGAAAAGTTGAAAAATCTCGATTTTTTTAAATGCAACGCCCTGTATATTTTCATACCATGAGATGCAGAATTAAATTCTCTACAACTTTGCTATACCTGCTCCTATAACAAAATTCATTAGTTTTTCATGAAATCTCATTTCTATGAAAAAATGCGAAGTTTACAAATAGCTTATATATGTAAAATAACGTAGTAGGCTCATGTCAAAGGAAAATCTGGATAATTTTCGATTCACATAAGATTTAATAGAAAAGCGACAGTAATAATTGTGAAATGAATTACTCTAAAGAAGAATTAGTAAATAAATAATAGAAGAATTAGTAAAACTCATGGTAACTGTTTATTGGCAGGATATCCTCGTACAAAGTGTTTTGTAAAACTGAAGCAGAGGTTTGAAAGAACAACAAATACAAATTATGAGAAGACAACAAGAACACACGCATGCAGTCTCCAAAACAGTAAATTAACATCGTGCATTTCTAACAAAAGTAATAAAGACCTAGTTAAATTAGTAATTAATAAAATGTCTGCCATTTTTCTATACTTAAACATTTAGCAATTCTACGACGAAAATTGCTTGACACATTTCGCAGCATTTCCGGAGTTAGGGCCAAAAAAGCATTTCTTATCTTTGCCCGTAAATTTTCTACATCTGTCGGAGGAGTTTCATACACCCTACCCCTTTTATATATCCCCATAATAAAAAATCAAGACAAGACAGGTCTGGGGATCGGGGAGGCCATAGAATTGGCTACCTATCCACTTATCTGGATACAAATCATTTAAGTATTCTCTAACCTGACACAGTTTTTCTCTGAATTTACATAACTTACATAATAAGAAAACTTACCGCCAGTGTGGAATGTGCAGGGGCACCATCATGTTGGAACCACTGACTGTTTAAGTTATCCGGAGGAATATGTCCCTGCAATTGGAGCAAGTCGTTTTGTAAAAATTGCAAATACCCATTATCAGTTAAGTTTCCTTCAAGAAAATATGGTCCAATGGCATATTCTCCGCATATTCCCGCCCAAACGTTGACTTTAAAGCGGTGTTGATGATCATCTTGTCTTATTAATCTGGGATTATGATCGGCGTAATGGTGATAATTATGTCGACTCTATAATTATTTCATCTTGTTGTAGCTTTATAGTTGCCCACTCACAAAACTCGCTACTCGCTTCTGAAAATCTTGCAGTGTTAAGAATTGGTGATGCTCAGAATGATAGGGTGGAAGTTGTTTTTCTTTAACGTTCTATTAACCACACTTTTGAAAATACTAATTTCATCACTAATTTCTCTGACACTTGTAGATGGATTTTGGACTGCACATTCCAAAATGTCAATTTGACTATCCTGATTACCACATGCGTGTGTTCTTGTTGTCTTCTCATAATTTGCATTTGCTGTTCTTTCAAACCTCTCCTTCAGTTTTACAAAACACTTTGTACGAGGATATCTTTGTAAATCTGGATTATTAGCTTGGTAAATACGACTTGCCAATAAACAGTTACCATGGGCTTCTCTTCTTCTATTAAACCTTTCTTTCTATTAAACCTTATGTGAATCGAAAATTATCCAGATTATCCTTTGACAGGAGCCTACTACGTTATTTTACATATAAGCTATTTGTAAACTTCGCATTTTTTCATAGAAATGAGATTTCATGAAAAACTAATGAATTTTGGTATAGGAGCAGGTATAGCAAAGTTGTAGAGAATTTAATTCTGCATCTCATGGTATGAAAATATACAGGGCGTTGCATTTAAAAAAATCGAGATTTTTCAATTTTTCAATTGGCAATTTTGACATGATATTTTGGTCACCCTGTATAACGCAGGCCAGTTTTTGGAGCATGATTCGGAAGAGTCATCCTTACTAAACATCTGATAAAAAAATGGGCTTAGTAGCTATTAGTATAACCTGTCAGTATCAGAAAATGTAAGCAACCAATATCGACTAGAAAAACCTTTCAAGCGAGATATCTCAAAAACTGTGAATATTTGAATAGAACTATTCTACACAAAGTACCCTTTATTTTTGATGTAGAATCCGAAAAAAATATAAAAAATGTGTGTTTCCATTTAAAAAACCAAAGTTGGTGTCTGGCCAGGAAAAGTGGAACACCCTGTATAGTTGAATATATTTTTAATTTGTACATTCCGAGAAATGTGGCAACACAGTAAAAAGAAAAATCCATATATTCCTCATTTTAACATAGATATTGGACTTTCCCGCACTAGTGGGACACGCTGTATAGTGTTTTTTAAAATCTATGCCATAAGTTCAGGAGATTGTTCTTTCGATCATTTGACACCAAAAAACTTAAATGAGTCTCAAGACACTTGTTGATACAGGGTGTTAAATTTGAAAAAAAATATGCAAATATCTAAAAAAATAATTGTTTTATATTGATAAAACTGATACTACTGACAAGATTAAGTAAAGGTAATTCACGCAACCGACGTAAAAATTTGTATGTCCCAGCAGCAACAAAGATACAGTTTGTCCGTGAAATGTGCGGAGTACAAAAATTACTTCTGTTCTAAATACTATATAAGTGACGATATTTTGTAAATTTTTGGGAGCCGTCACTGCTAAATACTAAATACT